TTATTGTTAAATATACATTGCATCATACAACCAAATGCTGGTACCTGTGCATGGAGCACAGGTTCATTCTTTTGTGATAATGAGTGGTTAAATTTAATTTCCAGCTCTCGAGTCATGCTCATGGTTACAAAGTTAATCGTTCAGGCTCACTCTTTAGTTTTACTGTATTCAGTGTTGATCGTTCACGTGCACTCCTAAAGTTGTGGTTCTCTCTCTCAACTGTTGATCGTTCAGGTGCACTCCTAAAGTTGTGGTTCTCTCTCACTTACACAGCAAAATCCTAGTGGTCCAGAGAGTTATAACATAATCTGTAAGCCTATAATATATATATAGTTCTTCAGTTGTAAGGTAGCACGTTTTTAGGGTCCCCAGCTATGATTACCTTGTTAAGATAGACAGGGTGGGGGCTGGCTAGTGGCTGGCTAGTGGCAACTGTCTACATCAAACTGTATAATCGAGTAATGACCAACACACAAGCAATAAGCATTATTATAATATATAGAAGAATAGTACACGGCCTGGAGTTGTGTAAAATAGCGCGAACTTAGAGAGTTAGAGGAAATGAGATCTCTCTCTCTTAGACCCGCTCTCTTGTGCTATTGTGTGTTAACTTTATGAAGGCCCGTTATTACAAACTTTAGGTTTAAACCTTGTTGGGCGACTGTCAGACTGATTTCGTCTCGTTTAACCTGGGCCTGATAATTACAATTATGTGGTGTTAACTTACTTTATCTTTTTCAATAAAGATTTAGGATCTGTAACTGTCAATCGCTCGTCCGATTCATTATGATAAACTTTTGTTTAATTCTTGTTGGGCGACTATTATTATGTATTATACATGAAATGATCTCTTAAAGAGATCAAAACTCTTCCGGTCGTGCATATTGAAATTATCGGGTCTCGGTAAAGAGATAATCTCTTTGCCGAGACCCCATAATTTGAATAGCAGACTTTACTTTTAACCTCGTACAATAGCAATTTAGGTTTATTTTATTAAAGATTTGGTTGGATCATTATCCATCACTCTTATTATAACAGTTGAGAGGATTATAATAAACTTTGTACATATGTTGTTGGGCGACTATAAGACTTGTATTATCCCTTAACCTAGGTCATGAATTTAATTATATCGGTTTAATTTACTTCAATTCTTTCAATAAAGATTTACTATCCAACACTTGTCCGATTGTTGAGAGGATTATTATAAACTTTAGTTAAACTCTAGTTAAACTAGATATCTAAACTATATTCTCTACTCTAATTAAAACCTAGTTGGGCGACTGTTATACTGATAATATCTCTCTAATTAGGTCTGATGATTTCAATAATAATTTATGATATTATAAACTTACTCTACCTCTTACAGTAACGTTTTCAATTTCAGTTTACTGTCCATCACTCGTATGATGGTTTTAAAGACGTACGTGACTTTACAAACACCTTATTTATATCGCTAGTCATCAGCTATTTTTATTGTTATGCGATTTTTTCTGTAATCAGCTTTAACAAATTTAGATTCGAAAATTAATAATTTTAACACTAGACCAGCACTATTCCAGAACAAATTACTAATAACATAGGGTATTTAATTCCGTATCACCTGACTCTGGATTTGAGGTGTTGAAATTAGCAGGAAGGGGTATGATTATAGAAATTATGAGGTGGTGAAGGGTGTTCCTCATTGAATTGTGCTCTAATCTATCTGAACGAGCTGCCGGCTACAGAGGAAGTTTTTGTTTTTTCTGATGATCAGTAAATCGCCGTAATTTCCCGTAATTGGACAATATTTGGCATCTAATTTTCGCTTGATAAAGATTCTTTGTGGCACCCAGTCTAAACCCAGGCCCACGTAAAGTTTACGTCGGATAAAAGTCGAATGATATTAACGGGTATATTTAAATTTATGCCACTTTGCGGCTGGACAACTGTCGATAAATTTGCCCCAATCTTCCACTGTTCGATTATAATATAACTGTTGGCTATTTTGTTTGGGCTAAAGCTAGCGGCCCTACTAATTAGCATTTGGAGGCTCTAAGGCTACGCAGCGAATATCTTGTTTTATAATGTAGATATTTATATAACAAGACCATAATAGGATTACTTGAGCCTAATCAACTTCTTGTAACCCACTAATTTTAGGTCTTAAAACATCGTCAGCAGGTTCTTCTCCTTTCATTAAAATGTCTATTGCATTTGTTAAACACGGTTAAGTGTTGATAATCGTAGAAGCCCTGTTTTCTCACTTTCTCTCATGTCTTTTGAAACTTTACTTCAGTTATCAAGCTTCCTTAAAAACCCGATTTCAAAATGCATACTACCTTATAATTTATATAATTAAAATGTTTTAATCTAATTAGGACTTTAGGATTCCTTCAACATGACAGTGTTTCGCTAATTCTCACATTCTACTAGATAATACGTATTATGTAATATACTTTTATCAGCTAAATTAATATATTATAATTGGAAACTATTCATTACTACTCCTTCGTCACTTAGCTTATATAATTACGAAATATCATTTAATAAAATTGTATTAATCATTTTTTGTGCGACGTGGCAGAATATTTTGTGCGACGTGGTAGAATTAATACCGGTATAATGTATTATTTGCCGGCATATTGTCACGAACTAGACGTAGTTGCGTTTTCGTATGTAAAATCATCTGGTTAGTCAGGCTTGCAGTTTTCCTATCCCTAATTGTAAAGATGACGTCATACCACGTGACTGTGAGATATGTCAAGTGTGCGTTAGTTATCATGGGTGTAAACTGTAAAGGTTCCCAATCTTGCATGATTTCTTTCAGCACCCCCTCGTAATTAATCCCCCGCAGATGGAGATGGCGTCCTATCTTGATTATTCTTTGCTTAACTAATGATGAGCCGTTCGTACAGTAGCTATTTCTACTTTTCTAGTCGTTTTCTTAAAATATTGTTAGACGTAGACTATAATAACATAACCACACTCTAGAGTACCATTATTTCTCATCAATCATCTCTTGATAACTGACCCCATTAACTTGGAGTGAGAGCTTAAGTAGTATATTTTAAAGTAACAAAGCCATTTGTAAATTTTTAGTATGAATATCCGATCGCGATAGGCAGCATATTATGATACTTTATCGTTCCTAAAGGCGTAGGGTCAGCCCAAATATCGACTAATATCGACTAATAGTAATATTGACCGGTCGATATTAGTCGCGTCAAGTCAACCCCAAGTCGCCCATGGGCTTGACCCCACGCCTTCCTAGATGACACGCCCTCGAGTTTGTTAGTTATACTTTTAAAGATATCTTAATTTTGTATAAATTGTCTTCATATTAATATGTTTAGATGGTCACGGTCATTAGTATCTTGCAATTATCGTTGCAATGCTAGTTGCTGCAATCGCGACATTTCTTAACTAGTTCATCATTAAAATGGCGGCAAATAGTCCAATTTGATAACATATTATAACGTTGCATCATTGTAGTGATGACGAGGCAGACAGCTTATATAATAGCACAATCGTCAGTTCAATCGCATCGGTGCTATTGATTTCTTCTGGACGAACTAAATCATCTTAACATGACTTTTAACTTCGAGACCGGCACGTACGACTCCTTCATCAACTACTCTCTGGGGGCTTTCATGATAATCTGTGTCCTGATCTCAACACTTCTCAACCCTCTTATCTGCTACAGTTACACCAAGAAACGCAAGACAGTCCAGAACTTTCTCTTTAAAGTGATCGCCGTGTCGGACTTCGTAACCACTCTCATCCCAGGCATCTTTATCAGCTATGTTTTTCTCAGCAACATGAAATTTGCATACACCTTCAAAAATCAAATTCCTGAGTTTCTCAGCTGCACATTTGGTTGTATCTCTCAAGTGACGACTACAATGATGGCAGCGACTCGCATGATTAGCATAATCCAACCCTTTCTCAGGGTCAAATTCAAATTCGTTCTGGCATATCTTGTGTTTTACGCGGTGTACATGGCAATAGGAAATGCGGGGAGCTTGCTAATAACAGGAATGAAGGATGCGAGGAATGTAACGGAGGAAAAACAATACGGTGGTAATCACATGGGAACTCTAGAAACTCTCAACAAATTCATTTGTTTTGTAATGAATATGATCCACTGCGTTCTGGGTGTTCTTTGTAGCTTCATCGCTGTTGGCTACCTGCGGATCATCATAGGAGCGAGCCCGGAACAGGCTCGAAAGCTAAGAAGTCTAAATACCATTCTTATCATGAACATTCCTTACATATTTTCTATAGTCAGTAACTTCCTGGCGTTTTATCAGGTCCTCAAGATAGATTTCAAGTTGGTGAACCATTACATTATTCCAATTCTTACAAGTGCTTTTAATCCATGTGTAATAATGGCCAGAACCAATGTTATCCAAGATGTAAGGAGTGGCAAACAAGTAAATGTAACCACGATGGCAACAACCGCAACGGCAGTGTTATCCAGGAGATTTGTTTTAAAGAAACTGGAAAGAGACAAGATTGATATGCCTGAACAAGAATTGGAACCGAAATCGGAAGATTGCCCAGACCTCGGTACTCTTGAGACTCTAGAAGAATCTACAATTGACATGCAAACCTAGACTAAAAAGCATGAGCTCGCGTTTGTATAATAATGCGATTTTGATTATTTTGAATAATATTTTTTACGATAGATTTTATAGCGTTAAATAAATTTGAACTACTGGTTTACTGTTTACAAAGCTTAAAATCTCAATTTAATGCTGATGTGACCTCAGCTTACGAGAACTTTATTTAATAATCCAATTCCTAGGCTCTTGTGTCTCACAATGTTCCATAGTAAGTCGGAGTTTACAAATATTTAATTTTTAAAGTTTTTGCAAGTAAACATTGTATTTAGAACTTGTTGTTTCAATTGTATTAATGCTTTTCAAACAAAGTTACAACGAATTATTCATGTAGTGCATACTGGGTTTGGACAGGATATGCCCGTTTAAAATATTTCCATCACGTTACATTACATAATTCTCAATAAATGTAATAGATTTGTATTGTTGTAATTAGTTTAAAACTAATTAATATACAAACACAAGATACAAGGCCAGGTCTCTCCCGAACGTTGGGATGGCCTGAGGTGCTTATCTCCTTTTCAGTAACCCTAAGCCGCCACTCTGTGCCGAGGCACTATACTAGCTGTAGGGGGGTTAGTCCTACGAGCCAGAGAGTGTGTATCACCAGCCGAAGCTGTACCAAATCACAGCTTGGTACCCACATCCAGAAACACGCCATCTTGCCAGGCAGCCTGGGAGGAATTTTTTTTGGGAGGAAAAACGGGAGAAAAAGAGGAAATTTTTGAGAAGTAACTCCTAAATTTCGAAATATTTTTTTGGAATGAAGACAAATTAATTGAGGAAATTTTTGAAGAAAATTTTTCGATTGTATAAAAATCAAAGAGGAACATCCTGTCAGTTTTGGAACACAGTGAAATATTCTGTTTGGAGAATGCAGATTGCTGTTGTGAAGATATCAAATTTACGTGAGTACTTGATTCTTTTCAATCCCAGTTTATTGCTGTCCTACAAATTTCTTTAATGCCAAATGCCGTCTAAAACACCCTATTTCGCAAAAAATTTCCGGGGGCTGCGCCCCCTAGCCCCCGCCAAGGGGCTTCGCCCCTGGACCCTGCTGGGGGCTGCGCCCCTAGACCCCTGCCACAGCTTGCTCGCTTCGCTCGCTGCGCAGCTGGATTGGACACGTTGACTTGCTTCGCTCGCCGACAGCCCCCTCCCCAAACTTGCGAGCGAAGCGAGCGGGCCACAGAATTTAGAAAAAAACGCATCTGGGAGGAAATATAAAACTTTCTGGATGTGGGGCTTGGTAACTGGCCGACTTGCATCCGACCGGATTTGAACCCAGGTCTTCTGCTTGGGAGGCGATCGTGTTACCACTACACCACGTGTTACCACTACACCACCCGGCCGACAAATTAATATAAGGTACTTATATTATCTAATTACCTTGAGAACGGACGGGTGGAGTTGTTCCAGTTGGTCGAGTAGTATCTTAACAAGGTACTCCACGCCTCGTAACAGCACCGACACAACCTGAAGATAAATAGTTCGTATTTTGGAAACTTTGTATGATAATGTAACTAAATTCTTATCAGTATTCAGGGGGTTTGGGGATGAGCAGTGCTTGAGATTAATGTATCACGTGAGGACACAAACAGTGATCGGGTAAGTCGGGAGATTACACAAATTCCCGGTACCTATTTAGATAATGTCCGGTGAGGTGCTTTGAACTGGGATATTTCTAAAGTTTACTATTCTTAACACAAGTAAGAGTTGGCTGTTAGAGGGCTGAACACGATGGTAATTTATATTTTCATCACAACTGAAGTTTTAGCTGCTTTAAAAAATACCAAAGTCCATCGATGTTCATGTGAGGAATAAATGGGCATGCCCAACCCCCTTACCCTCTGCTCTGACCCAAACCCTAACCCTAGTTCCTAACCTAATCTCTAAATGAATCTTATTTTATAACCTTAACCCCAACGAGAAATAAGACCAACTTCTTTATGCTCAAGTCACGTGATCGAAACAGTTTTTCACTGATAACTCGCCAAGGGATCATTTTAACCCTATGTATGTGGAGTGATTCGGAATCAGCATTCAATAATATATCGATTTAAGTTAGTTTCAACTGTCGGGGCCGGGCCCTTTTAGAAAAATATCGAACTTCGAATGTAGAGTGATTTAACACGCCCGTACAATTTTTCTAGAAAATTGAAGTTCTTGAAAGTTCAGAAAGGTGACACTAAAATGAAGACTGAGTACTACTCAGTGAGTACTACTCAGTGAGTACTACTCAGTGAGTACTAAGGCCCCAGGTCACTAACACAAAGAGTTGTACGTCAATTTATATAGGAAATGAACAGTACAGTGTACAGTTCATTTCCTATATATAAATTGACTACTTTGTCAGAGCTCTCGTCTGATAACCGATCCCAATGCATCTGATAAAACTGTTTAACTGCGCTGACAGTAACTCGTCCTCTAACGATACTGTTCTCCATCTAAAAGAAGTCCTCACTGTCCCCTCTCTCATCGTATTGACTGGGACCCTGGTTCTTGCTGTCATCATCTTGATTGCCCTCGTTTTGTCGCACTGCTACAAATCTTCTAACTCCATCTTCTACTTCAACGTGTCTCTAGCTGATACTATCATGGCGTTTGTCTCCATTATCATCTTCATCCCCACTGACAGTTTCTCATGGAAGACTTACCATATATTTGCTTCAGTGGTAGAGATCCCAAGGCAGGTGTGGTCGCTGACTGTGCTGTGTCTCATGATTAACCGCTACAAGCTGATCCTGGGTAAGCCTGGATTTACAGCTCACACAACGTATGTAGTCCTATTCTTCACATGGATTGCCAGCATTCTTCAAACAGTCTACTGGAGTCTGCGAGCTCCTGGAGGTAGCCTGGACTATCTGAGAAGTAGTGTGGTGGGAGTTGTGTTTGACAATGTAATGTTGTTGAACTATGCGCTTCCTCTGCCTGTTGTGGTTACCCTACTGGTGCTTATACTCTTTAAAGCAAGACAACACCTCGCCCGGATTAAAGATAACTATAGTCAGGATGCTACTGCTCTACAACTGGGTACTAATCTGAGACTTCTCTACGCTTTCGGAGTGGTCTACATCTTGGGTTTTGGTGTGGAGTTCGTGGTGTCAGTCAACAGTTTGGTCAACTTGAGTGGCTACCTGGATATAGTGCCGCTTTGGGAGAAAAGTGCCACATTTTGTGGGTACCTGTTTGGGTTTGATGAGGTGGGTAACATGATTATCAACTTCACCAACTCCCTCATCATAGTACAGAGTAGACACGTGCAGTGCGCGCTGGAGAAGATGTACAGAGCTACTTCCCAGGGGTTCAGGAATGTTAGCAATGTTAAGAAACTTGGGAAGAGAGATGACCACGCTGACCGGGAGCAGATCGTCAAAGAAGAGAGATCTACTCAGGAGACATGATCCGTTATGAGGTATGGACTTAAATGTTGGAAGCCTGGAGTTAAGATAATCTTGTAGAATTTGGTCTCTACTCTCGTCTCTCTATCACTGTATTCTTATTGTGTTGTACTTGAACTTTATTATTCGCTTCCGGCTGCGATTGATTGAATAGTACCTTGTTAGCTTGTTTGAAGATGTTGCTTATATAATAAGATTTTGCCCGATATGAATAGCTCCGACCTATGGTACTCATTTTATTGAAAATGATGCTTTACTGTGTCCTTTTAATAAACTGAATTTTTTGATTCAATTTTTGTATTTTCTAAATCGTGTATTTTGATGATTTGTTTGATGTTCGTGACTATGCAGCAGTTTGTTGACAATCCCAAGTATATTAGTAAAAGGTATAATTGGGTCGTAAGAAAATAAATCAATCCTGAATTGATAGAGATTTTGGGGCCAATCTACAATACATTGTAGATGCCCCATTATTCATTAATTACTAATTACTAATTAAATACGTCAATCAAGTAACAGATACTGGTAACTTGGACGTGAGATGATTTTGTAGTATTGCAATTAGTAAATTTGTATAATAACTAACACTTAGCGTGCAGCAACGTGGTTAGGATGAACTAGGGGCAGTCATTTCATGTTGCCTACTCTTTAATGTGTGGATAGTGTTGTAATTAGTTTAAACAAATTTTTTACGTTTACTGAGGTGGTACTCCCTTGTGGATGAAAAGCCGAAACTAGTGGAGTCAACGAGCGGGTCTCCTCGAGATAGGACATGCCTTCATGATCACCATTTATCATAATATTATGTAGAGCTACTGGCCCAGAGCCCTGGATTATATTGGGGCGATTGCAGTTTAATAACACCGGTACAGCTGACTTATCTATTTCTAACTCAACAGCGGGGGCTCATTATTACAAGTCATTACAGTTGGTTTCTGCTACTATAAGCTGTTTACTTGATCTTAGATAGATTTAACGAGTTATAACTTATCATATTATGATAAGTTATGACTCGTTAAATTTACGACCCAGTAAACAGCTTAACATTTTAAAATTGCTTTTTAACGGCCAATTCCCAATTTGTAACCAATTATGAATTACCTAACACCCTTCGTTCAAAAAGCGAGCACTACAGTTTTTTAGATGTACTATTGGTCCCTGCTACTAGTCTAATATATTAGTAAATCGTTAGTATCATTTTTCTAAGTTTGTGCGTCTAACGGCCCACATGGTCAGACTGGCGTCTGATGATGTACAAATGCAATATTAAATCATTGCTCATAAATGGGAGCATGCTGTGCAGTTGCCCTAAGAATGAGCACATGGTTTTAATTATCGTCCGCGTCAGCTTTAAGCCACTTGCAAACGCAATATATACCATATATTGCCGCGATTCCATTCACTACTTGCAGACACTGATTATAAAAATATAGGTACATTTTCTAATTAAATGCCTCTATTAATTTGAACTCTGTTATAACTTATAAGGTTATATCTGTTATATGTCACTCCTTCTGAAGAATATGTCAGAAAGAGAAGCAGCTTCAACACACGACCCTCCCTTGGATACCGGACAGCAAGTATTCTACACACTATTTACTTTGCTCTTGAGCTCAGTAGGAACGACAGTTAACGCTATCTCCCTCACATTCTTTCTCAAGCAGAGAACACAAAGTTTAGGAGATCGGATCCTGATCTTGTTAAACTCGCTGGATCTGATGGTGTGTGTGTTGACTTTTGTAGATGTGGTCTGTAGGAGTTGGCTTGAGGACAAAGTTTTTAATTCTAAGATTTTCTTCGCTATCTTGGACTCGCTTTATTACTTCGTGTGTAGTGAGAGCACCGCTTTTGCAACCTGCATACTCAGTGTAACCAGGGCCATATCTCTATCCTTCCCTTTCTATTCACTGAACAAGACAGCTGTTCTTTACACAACAATGCTGTACTTTGTGTACTTGTTTGGTAAGGAAACAACTTTTGTAGCGCTAAAAATATTGAACCCTGAATCAGAGATAGCTGACAACACTCATCTAATCTCACTGTGCTCATTGACTCTGTTTATCACTATCAGTCTCATCTCTAACTCAATCACCGGCTACAAACTCCTCTTTGCAAGTGAAGCCACTAATATTGAGACTGGGGCAAGTACTAAACGTGCAGGAGTAACCGTGTTTATCTTGTCATCTCTCTTCATCTTCTTCAACTTTCTCTACATTATAGCAGGAGTGGTATTCAGCACCAGCCTTGAAACTATAAAAGAGCAACATCCGAATGATCATAAGACCTTCATGATAGAGTCTGTGCTGCAGTTTTCTATCCCACTAAACTCCGCTTGCAATCCGATAATATATTTCATTAGAAAAGCTACCATGCGAGCTTATGTGAAGAGAATCTTTAGAAGTTCTGTGGAGTGTTGTGTGCGAGTTACTCCCGATAATGTTCGTGAAGACTGTGAGGAGCCGGCAGATCCAAGAAATGATACCACGTCCCATTTTTAAAATAAACTTTAGCTCAATTTCTGTTCTGTTAGAATAGCATATCTGTAGCTCCCGATCACAGTACGTTGAGTTCAAAATATTGTAATTATCATAATGTAGATCATAATGTAGATCATAATGTAGATCATAATGTAGATTCCGTTGTATTTTTCTTAGAATTATTGCTGTAATATATTTTAATTTGCTTTGTAAATACTGTATTCTCCTAACAGGACTTTCGAAAATTGCAAATTATGAATTATCATGGCGAAAGTTATCAATATTTTCGCCAAGGCCAAAACCCGAGAGTGGTGATGAAATACTAAAAACTAAACTAGAATGCGGATGTGGAGCTAACCTGTTCCCCCTCTCTGCAATGTCCAGTAGTGTTAGGTGTCCAGACGTGAGTGGGGAGTCTCCGACTACGTTGAGACAGATTGTTTCCCAACCATTTCACCAACTCCACCAGCAGTTTCATCGCCTGAGTCAGTAAACTACAATTACTCGAGAAGAATGCTGCATACCTCAGTATTACATGGTATTTGCTAGTTATTTTATATAAAAAAATGTTATTCTGTCAAAGTGTCAAGCTCTCAACTTAATAATTAATTAAATTAAGCAAATGATGTAGATCTTTAAAATATAGATTACCTGGACAGGAGAACAGTTAACATTGAACTTATCAATGATAAGAGAGATAAGAGACACAAGTGTCTCGTCACCCCATTCTATGACACTGATAACGATAGTATGGAAGTTATCTGGTACTCTAATCTCGGGTAGTTTAATCAAGAAGATAAGACAACGTTCTATAATGTCACCCCTCATTCTCTTCTTCTCCTGAGGCGCATTGTTATTAGGACCATATCTAATAATAAAAGGTACCTATTTTGGACTGACATGCAAGTAAATAGTATTTTGGATGCTGCCGTCTACAACTCTACAACTGCATTTGGACGAATTTTATATTAACAAAATGTACTATAAAACTTAATTACGGCATTTAATTAAAGTGAAAGTATTGATTTAAAGTGAAAATACCCTATCAATAAGACTGATAAGAGAGTCTGATATGTACATGACACTGGACTTGCTGCTGTGTTGAGAAGAGATACAGAGATCCAGAGCACTAGTACACACACTCTCATCCTCGCTGGATAAACACTCCAGAATGTAGTCCAGTAGGTTGTGCTGCGGAGGGAGTGGTTACTTGGGGGAGTCGAGAATATATGGAAATATTGTTTTTAATATAGATTACATGAAATATAATGCTCTTGATGATAGGACCTTGCTTCTGTTTTTTATCTACATAATTGATAAATAAGTTCTTTAGAAATGATTGTTTGCCTTAATTGTAAGAAAGTATATGTACCTGAGTAATAAGCTGGGGAGTGTCCAGGAGTTTCAGTAAAGATAAAGCGGAGGAAATAACTTCACTTGACTTAGTGTAGGCCAGTGCGTGTTTTATTCCTTGTAACAGTTTACCTGTAGGGTAGGATGGAGTGTTATGGGCTTTGGATACTAACAAGAAAGACACATACCTATATTATGTTCTATTCTTTTATTTAAGCGAAGCGTGAAAAGCGGAGGTGTTTAGTTCTATTAATAAATATATTCGGTCGTAGAGATAACGAATTTAAAAAGAAACAAAAGAATAAAAAGGACAATAGCTTCAAAAGGATAAAATATACAATGAAAAATACCGACCACTTGTTAAATATCGCTGGGAACACCTAATTCAATTGGAAGGTTAAATCTTCTGGAACCCCAGCTGGACAGATATATAAGTTCATTTCTAGAACTGGAGAGAACCCTACTCAGTATTCACCATGTTAGTTATCATTACGTGCGCTCTTGCTCTTCTAACCACTATCAGTGCTGATGTGCGCAGTGATGCGCTGACAAAGCACAACGCATACCGAGCTAAGCATGGTGCACCACCCATGGCTTGGCACAGTGGAGCCGCAGCCCATGCTCAGGAACATTGCGACTATTTGGCCAGAACTGGACAGTTTTCTCACAGCAAAAGTAGATACGGTAAGGGGATTTATCTTACATCACTGATACTTCACTTAACTTGTTTTTTAACATTTTATAATCATGCGACCAGTTCACTGTTCAGTGTTTGTGTGCGGCTTAATTCGAATCACAATCTATTTTCTGACTGACAAATTTAAATTTCCAGGAGAGAACCTGTACGGTGGGTGGGGAAGCAGAGGAAGTAAGATTGGAGCAGCTGTTGACCTCTGGTACAATGAGGTGAAATACTACAACTACAGTAACGGGGGCTTCAGCATGAGTAAGTCTTGAACGTCCTGATCCTCGGAGGTTCCTACTCTTGACTTAATAACAGCATTAGCAGCCTGTATTTAATCATTCAGGTGTTCAAGGTGCAACTTGTTCACAGATTTAAAGTCCCATTACATTGACTGAATTTCTCCCACTTTTCAGGGACGGGACATTTTACACAAGTAGTCTGGAAGAGTTCCACTGGACTAGGATGCGCTGAAGCTAAGAAGGAAGCAGAACAGTGGTCTGCTGCAACTACTCCCCACCTGGCAACTACAGAGGTCGATTCCAGGAGAACGTCCTTCCTCCCAGAGTATAGACTTGAAACTGCTTCAGCTTTTTAAAAACCCCGAATTTGTGAAGAAAAACGCTGGGGTGACCCGTATTTCTCTAGCAAAGTGTTTAAATAACCTCAATGACTAATATTTATACCAGCTTTTTGAACTTCTTTAAAGATATATTACTTCTTAGCATCATAGCCACATAATTATCTTCGCGGGGATTAGTTATGACAGCACACATTTCTAAATCTTACCTTGACTGATAATAGCGGCTTTGTGCTTGTTGGCGAAGGTTTCATGAGACAGTAAACTGTGTATTAGAAACATTGATTGAGCAACAGTAGTTGTGGAGGACAGGAGTTTGATGGTGTTGTGGATCAACTTCACTAGTCGCAACTCCGATATAACCCTGCAAAATTGAAAATTAGTATTTGTGCATTATCTTGGATTTTGTTTTCTAGAGTTAATAGGTACTGTGAAAAAAACTTGTTTTTTACTTCTCCAAATTCAATTTCTTTGGACGCACAAAGATCTATATCTAAAGTTACTCCCTTGTAAATGCAGATAATTTAGATATGGAGTCGCGGGTGACCGACAACTGAACCCAACGATCAGATTATCCACTTAGTCGCTTACTGATGTAAAGGGGAGTAAGAGTTGAAGTGAAGGAGGAATGTGAGGATAACATTCTGGATCAGCTCTCCGGAGGGTCTCAGAGAGTCGCACATGTTGTCCACTAGCTTGTTTCTTATCACCTCGTTCCGTAACTCCAAACTGATGGACAAGACATCAATTTAGATCTTGTCATAATATATTTGAACAACAAAACGTTCACTACAAGAAAGCTTCAACTTGTTAATAAACAACAATTTGTTTACATAAAAACAGAAACTTACTTTGCAGTTATGAGTTGAGATAGAGTTCTAGCGAGGAGGCCAGCAACTTTGGGGTTGTTAGACTGCTCGTAGAACCTCCTGCTCACTTCCTCCAGAATATTGATAGAGTGAGAGTGTACCGTGCAAGGTATGTGCTTCTCTAACAGTAGCAAACTCTCGATACCTGCCGGAATATAATTAAGTCGAACAACTAAACAATTAATGAAGTTTTAATTGGACAAGCACATCCATACATCCATTAGAAGTGACTCTCGGGTAGGGGGAGGGGACCACTCGGGTCTCTCAGGAGTTTATAATACTGCACTACTACTAGCAACAAATATTCTAATTTCCAGAGTTAATGATTCCAATATGATCACATACCGATATCATCTTGAGTGTGCGCTAAAGCTGAAATCAAGATCTTGCTGAGGCTTCTAGACAAGTCACAGTCGTGTAGCATTACTTTCAATTCATCCGAAGTCCTGAACAGATGAACGGTTACAATAAAATCGGAAGAGTTACTAAGAAACATGAAAATCGAACTATCTAGTAAAAATACATATTAAGAGAAGCCCAATGGCCAAAAGATAGAACTTACCTTAGAAGATGGTGTATCTCGCTTAGAAGAGATTTTTTCTTTGACACGGGAGTCCGGTGGCCGTCCAACAAGAACACCAGACATGCCATACATTCCTCGCCCCATCTCCCTTAACAGTGTGTTGTCTTATAGTTTAATATTCATTTTATATGTTTATTGGGAATTTGATCTCAATCTAGAAATGGAGTATATCAAATTTTACATAGTTAAGAACCAATCAAATTTTAATTCATCAGTTATCATTAAAACTGGTTTATAGAACGGATAATTGGTTTCCAAAACATTTGTTTTTATAAACATTTGATTTTATAACGTGAAGGAAAGGTGAATGTTGCGTGAACCTGATAGAGTCCACTTTCTGCTGTGTTTGTAGTGGTCAGTAGTCTGCAAGATGTCAGGCATTGTGAGTGTAAAGCTCGTGTAAAGCTCGTGTAAAGCTCGTGCGAAGCTCAGGTAAAGACCGTGTGAAGTTCGGGTGACATGGAATTGTTACATCCTGATCGTGAATTAGGGAATGTAAAGACTTTTTTGCTATAATTTGATGAATTGAGTGAGATTGAATAAATCAGATTTCTACACTTCTACACCTGATATTATAGTGTTCAATAATATTCAAGCAAGAGTTGTCGCAGCAATAGGTTCATTGGCTGTTTCACGGTCGAATGACACTTGAAAGTGACTTTGTGGTTAAGCGTGTATTGTGCCGCCCTCTGATTTAGTCAGGTAATAATGCAACAGATGGGATAATTATATATACAAAGGGTACTGGGCTGCTCTGTAACCGACTGCTTTTTTATCTATAAATTCATGATGTTATCCCCATCTCTTTAACTAATTCCTTATAAATCATCGCCTCACTTTCCATCTCCATCTCACTCCTTATCTCACTAGTGGTACTATCTACTCTCTCGATCTCTCCGTAAATATCATCATTGTTAGCAAAGTCACCAGCCTGCCGAGGCATCAAGTGAATGTGGACATGGTGGACTGATTGACCAGCGTCAACTCCATCTTGGACTACCAGAGTTAGGCTTTCTGTCTTGTAGTGTGTTTTAAGTAGGGATGCCAGTTGCTGTGCTCCTGAAAAGAAGAGGGAGAGTCAGAAACTAAAAACTATTTCATCTAGGTAGATTATCAAGTTAAAGTAAAAAGAGAACGATATGGTGACAATATTGTCCACATTATGTATAGTAAGATGCAGGGTAATATTTGACCGATAAAAAATTCTTAATAACAACAACAAAAACAAACCTTTGAAGAGGTCCACATTCTCTTCAGGAGAGAGATTGGTAAAAGAAGGTACAATTCTTTTAGGAGATACCAAGACATGACCAGGTAATACAGGCTTAATGTTGACAAACGCAAAACTGAGCTTGCTTTCCCAGAACACACAACTCTGCTGGATTACATGCTGCCCAAACTTTAGCATGTTCGTTCTCATGAGTTATGCACTGGTAGTTGTTACTAGATTCAATGGAATTAGATTTCAGTTCCTCGAAGATCTGCACAATCTTTGGTTCAGATACGATACAGTGAACTGAGTAGTTTAAGTAGCTGTCACGTGACAGCTGTTGTTTTCTATAAATAGTTAAGAACTTCGTCCTTTTGCTTTCAGTTTCTTACCAAACCTTTTTACACTATGACTAAAGCATGCTTTGGTGAGTTAAATTTCAGGTATGTATGAGAATATAATGTCCAAATTAGGGTGAAAATATATAGTTTGTGATAAAACTGAAAATAAAATTTCTAAGACTAAGACGAACTAGTAAATAAATAAAACATCGTTGACATCAACTTGATAAAAAATCTATATAAAACTTTAAATTACACAGTAATTTAAATAATCACTGTCCTGTGCAAGCAGGCACTGACTTTCAGATACCTTAGATTAATTATAAGGGTCACACACTATGCAAATAGCAAATTATAGACTATTTCATCTTCTGGGAGAAACGTTTGACCAGCAATCTATAATACTTAATGGCCAAAACATCCTCAAGGCTCAAGTTCTAGATTTTACGTTTTTATTTTATCGATTTGTTTATTCAATAGAAACAATAAATTAGTCCCTCCTTATTCACAAATTAAGTCTCCTTCACTACACCCACTTTAGCGGAACGTATAGATCTAGAATGCAGCACGTACCCAGACTGGATAACATTCATCACGGTGCCAGGTGTCTGGGTCGGGTCCGGTACTTGGAACATAGCCTCGTGGTACACTGGGTCAAATTCCTCGCCCAGCGGTATTATCTTTACCAGGTTGTGTCGCTTAAAAACCTGAATATTTAACGTTATCAAATTATTGACCACTTATTGAATTTTGTCTACAGACCAAAATAAGGTGTCTACAAATCAAAATTATAGGATAGTTGATTTAGCGAAAGCTGCTAGAAAACATGCACTAAAACTATCATATTTCAGATAGAAGAGAGAATGAAGCTGGAAATGACAGACCTGATGAAGTTGACTGTGTGTTAGAGACACCCCCTCATACAAGTTAGCTAACACTTTGCTGCTTCTCTCTGATTCAGGTACACTCTCAAGAGCTTTCTCCAAAACGTCTGATACGGGCAACATGTCCTGAAGGGTGTCCGGTCGGAATAAAATATAAATACAATCACAATATTAGTCCTCTTATTATTTTCTTAATCTATAGAATCTGAACAAAGGTTTTATTTAAGAATATATGAGAACAATTTGATCATACTGTATAGGGAAAATAGCTACCTTTGCGAAAGATTGGATAGAAAAGATTTTCGAATTCTCCAATTCTTTTTTGGCTCTATTTCTAACATTTTCTCCATCAGCCAAAGCTCTAAGGTATTTATTTTTCAGATCTGTCAAAAGTTCTTTCTCGGTAGCCAGCTTGGCTTGAAGAGCTGCTATCTCTACATCTTTTAAAGCCAATGGATCTTCTGCATCACCTTCAGGGACCACCTTCTCTGTAGTCTCACTTTCAGCTGACTGAGATGACAGCTTGGAGACCCTGGAGCATATTACATTCTGATATGCTAATCTCGATCTGGCTACCCTCACGATAGTGTGCATCCTACCCTGGGGATATAAGTGTTCTAGGTAATGATAAGATCCAAAGTAGTATAATGGTACATATATCTAAAGGAATATTATATATAACTTATAGGTTTATCCAGATTAAGTATCAAAGTCAAACAAACTGAAAAAATTACAGCACTGAAATTGAAAAACATAAGTCTAACTTTACACAATAAAATACATCAAACTAATATGTTAAGGCCACAGGGGGGGTCCGAGGTCAATTTTGAGATTTTGAGATATGTTGTAGAGCTCGATCTAAATTTTCAAATGCTTTTGTCCTTACCGAAAACAAAGTTTCCTATTTGAAGATATCGCGCGTTAAATTTTGAGGTTTACCTGTAATTCTATTGTAAATGAAAACTTTAAATGCAATTGTGTTCAAAATCTATCTTCTTTTTTAGTTTATGACTTAGAACCTTGTAACTTGGCAACAATGTTCTTAAAGGTATTTTGAGTTTTTGTTATGTAACGATTTATGATATCTTGCTCCAAAGCTGAGATATGAGGTTAACCATGAGTGAGAATTACAAAATTTACAAAATTTAAAATGGTTAACCTCATAAAAAGAGTTAGGAGCAAAATTACAACAATCGTTACATAACAAACTTTTAAATTTATGTCAGGAACATAAGTTCCAAATTTGAGGTGAAATGGATAAAAGCTCTAGAAGAAGATAGGTTTTTGAGGTGGTCAATAAATTGTTCAGGAGAGTCAAAAGACCATGATTCTGAGAAAATATGTTAACCTCAATTTTCCAACAAATAAAGGACATATAATAGTTCTGTTCACATTGGATGGCCAATTGATACCCATTGATAAGTTTAACTTGTGATGAGAGCAACAAAATGTTAAGAACTGGTTATTTATGAGGTTAACTGATTAAAAAGGCAATAGTTAACCTCTATTTTACGACAAACTAGTCGCTCTGGGGGGCTAAGGGTGGTGTGCAAGCGTCAGATAGTACGTGGTCTGCCAACTGGCAAAAAACTTTTTTTCGACCTCGGACCCCCCCCCCCCTGTGGCCTTAACCCAGGTGAATAGAAACCAATATTGCATTTTAAAAATTTAGAATCAAATTTTATCTGTTATGTTTATCGACATTCATTGTGGTAATGTCAACTTTATTTGATATTTATAAGTTAGAACTTTAAAACAAGTAATATTGCGACTCTTTAATCTAAAAATGTGATAATCAAGAAGTTAAGCTTAGCAAAAAATGAAAATTAAGTACCCCAGCTACATTAATCAGAAGCTAGAATAAAACAACAATTACAGTAATTGTATTATGTAGTGGCAAACAATTTCATCAGGCCCATCCAAAATCCAATGATTTCTTTACTGGTTATCTTACTCTCTCCATAAACTCGATCCACAAATGTGATCGGAACTTCTTCCACTGAAAAACCATGTTGCTTTGCTCTAACTATGATTTCCATCTGAAAAACATATCCTTTAGAAATACATGATAATACAAGCTGCTCCAAAACTTCTTTCTTGTACAACCTGAAACTTCCAGTGACATCTGAACAGCCTGGCATCAGCATTATTTGAGTCAGGAAGTTTGCTGTACAACTGATAAGCTTACGAGTGAAGTCCCATCCAAATACTCCACCTCCTTCTCTGTATCTAGTACCAGTCACAATGTCACTGCCGGTCTTCTCCTGAAGATCAATAAACTGCTTTATGAACTTGGGATGGTGAGACATGTCTGCATCTAAGATTATGACGAAATCTCCAGTTGCTGATTTCAATCCATGAATGTATGCGGTGCCAAGACCAAGTTTGCCAGGACGTGGCCGCAGCAATATTTTGTCTTCCCCATACACGTTTTGCAGTTGTTTGGCTACTTCAATTGTACCATCAGGAGAGTTATCATCAATCACGATTATTTCATAGTCGAGACTATTCTTTTTAAACTCCCTTACAAGAAGATAGACAATAATTGGCAAATTGTCTATTTCATTATAAGTTGGCAACAATACGGAATACTTTACCATTACCTGGAACATGAGAAGAGTTTAATATATCGATTGTGATTTAAACAGAAAACAATTTTTATATATTGATATTTTTGCAATTTATTCTCAAATCAAACATAGCATCTAAGGCCACATCAGAAATATCAAGAATACATTTGAGGCAAAAGATTTGATACATCACATATTATTGTAGTTGTCAAAATGTGGCATTATAAATGTGATTCAAATACTTTAAAGCTATAGATCAGATTGAGGATGGGTTAAACAGATAAACACAATTTGGTGAGCAGGGCAGTAGTTATCATTTTGTCAGACCATACTAAAATAATTAAAATCTTGAGACTTACAGTGTAACTTACATTACACTCTGGGTTTTATGTCATATGCAGCAGCTGCCTCTACTGTCCTTTCTTTTATTTTGCGATCTAACAGCACCTGCATATCTTTACAACCTTGAATAGTTTGTTTCACCACTTTATCTAAATGGTCATTATGAAGTCTGTTGTCAAGTTGCAATTGAACAATCTGTTCTGATTTAGGCATAACTGCTAACATAAATAGAGGTCCTCTTGAAGATTCTTCTAGATGATTGATATCTAATAGTGCAGTATCTTGGTAAACTGTTGCAGCACACGCACAAACATAATCCTTCATAGGAATACCAGCATTGATTAATGCGAGCGTAGTTGCATTTATTGCAACACAACGCTCACCTCCATCACTCTGCAATACTTGAACAAAAATGTCAATCTGGGACTTAGGGAATTTTTCTAACAATATAGCTGCTTCAAAAGTGTTTTGAATCATGACACTGACTTCAGTGGACTTCTTATCAGTTACCATCTTCCGCATACGAACACCAGAACTGAATGTTGCTTTGTTGTAAGAACAAGAGATTATTGCTCGATCGTTAGTCCTTTTAGCACGGTTTTCACATTCTCTTGGACCATACACTGTGACAAGTACCTTAGTGTATCCTTGTTCGACAATTGCTGAACCATCTGCATCTTGAGCAATGCCAACTTCACATTTCAATTTTCTCATTTCGTGTGGACGCCTGCCATCACACCGTAATCCCTCAGGTGATAATATTTCTGACATTTAGTTTTAGAGCTGTGGAGAAAATGATAAATTAGGTACTTCAACTCACATCAGATTATTTATATTTTAACAGAAAAGTAAAAACAGATTTTAAAATTTCGTTAACTCAATTCTTCACAATTCAAAATGATTGGTGAACTAACTAAGGGACACAGATGGGTTGAGCTGGTTTGTTTTGCATACAGTTCTTAATCTGGTTGTAATCTGGATAACCATAAATATGAATCGATACTACCCCAGGATAATAAGGATAAAATGTTCCTTTATTTTACAGGAGACTTTCCTTAATGATGTCTTGTCTCAGCATTCTCGTCTCAGCAGTACTTAAGGTACCGACACAAAGGCATGGTGGCATCAAGGTCAAGTTCGGAGACAACCTGTACATAAAATCAGTCACTAATTACACTCATTTCACTGCCATAAACGGTAAAATTAATTATAATTCCTCTGACAGTCCAAGGGGTACAGGCTCTTCAGATATTATACTCCTAACCTTTCTATAATGATATCTGGGTTCAAAATTTAAATAACTCAACCTTGGTGGAGACAGTGGCCACCTGAAAATTACAAAAATAAAGGAGCTGTAAATCACTTATGAAAAAAATATTTACTCCAAATTTCACAATTTAAAGTTATGTAAGACAGGTGGGTACTCAAAAAGTGCCGGTTGAGCAGGTTTGTCTGCTCAACACAGGTGGAGCAGCTCACTGACTACATGAGCTAATATAAGTGACTAGAACTAACCCTCTCATGCTTTTTAATTGCTCCAAAGTCCTAATATTTAATATTATGGGTTATACCAATCATATTTCATAGAATAGGATCCTCAGAATCGGCTCAACCGAGGTGGAGACAGCATAACATGCAGTTCAAAATCTGTTATTCTGTAGTTTAGGAGCTGTAGAGTGACTGTGGCAGTCCATTTGCAATACCAATGATTCTAAATCATCTACCAACTCATATTACAAGGCATCCTTACTGAAAAGTACACTCAACATAGGTGGAGACTCAAATTTGGCAAATTTGGGCGTAAATTTGACCTCAGAAGTCAAGGTTCTCCACCGCGGTTGAGTGGTTGATGGCTAGTTTGATGAGTTGTATACATGCTAAAGGATCACCCAATGTTATTTCTTCCAGAAATCAACTGCCAAAGCTCAACTCAACCCGGTGGGGCCAGTTTTAATGCATTTTTAATGTTTTAATGTTTAATCAACAATTTCTCCACCTTGTTGAGCACCTTTTCACAACTTTGATAGTTTTTTCATTTGCTAGAACACTTTGCTTTAAGACAGAAGGGGTAACAGTTTTATGATCCCCTACAGTAGCAGTTAACAGAGCAGATTAGAATTAGTGATAAAATCAATGAATTTAGGCATGTTTGACAGGCTTTTTACTGTAAAGATCTCCACCCTGTTGAGCGTCAATGGAAAAAACAAAATTTAACGGGAAGTAGAAAAGGCCGAGACGCAACTTTCTAGCTAACCTAGAACTCTCTAAACCTTTCTCCACCCCCGGTTGAGCAGCTTTGAAAAGTGCATTTAATTTCTCCACCTCGGTTGAGCACTTAAATAAAATATTGATAAAACCATCAGATTGCAAATTTGATGTAGTTTGTGTTACCAATAACCTTTTCCACCTTAATCAAAAGTTTCATCAACCAGAGCCAGTCTCCACCTTAAATCTCCACCTTTTAAGGGTTTGTTTAATACCACCTGTATCTGCTCAACCGTTCAACCTTTTAATTTTTTTTTTACTCAGAGAAAGTCCTGAAAAATGTCTTGTCAGCCATATAATCAGGGAGTTTCAGTCTGTTTTGAGCTGGCTCCACCACACACTTCTAAAAAAGTAAAAAATGTACAGGTTGTCTCCGAACTTGACCTCAACTGTTAAGACACTCAGCTCAGTGGATTTAATATGTATAGAAGTATTCATCAACTGTGGAACGAGTATTTCAGATGAAATAATCAGTGTAGCAAGGGCAGGCCATTAGGACACAAATGTCTTCAGTTCTGACGAAAAATTGTTACTTATGAAATAATTTTGATACTTGAGACTACACTTAAAGGATTCGATCACAATAATAAACCTGATGAACCCGCCGGACTGTCATCTATTCCTTTTGTACAATAACAACAATAAATGCACAGGTGTGCACTGCCACGAAAACAATCCAGCATACAAGAAAACCATGGAAAAGCAATCCATATTTATATTCTAAACCCTGCAAACCTTTCAACTAATAAAAGGAAAAAAATTGTTCAAACGATATACACAGATAATTTCAACAATGGTAATTGTCTAGCTGTAAGGTTAGACACCCTCGAAAATGAAGAGACCAACACAATAAATTTAATTTAATAAACACGGTAGAGATTTTTTAAAAACCAGTGTAGAAAATAAAACCCTTTGTAATATATAAAACAGTCATTTAAAAGTGACATACCACAAATTTACTTTACAACAACCAGCGGTTCGGTCCCTCGCCCATCAGACACTCCGCGAATTTTCATGATTGTGCACAATTGACACCCAGCCTCTTTCAGAGTTCAGAGTTGGTGATGCTCCAGCACTTGAAGATGACAGGTTTTGTCAGGTTCAGGCCCCTTTAGTGCAATTAATCCCTGAGCTCGACTCAATGTCTGCAAGGAAAACTGAATTTCAGGAATAAATCAAGTGGGGCGAGAGGATTGTGATTTTCAAGGTACTGGTGCTCACAAATCGTGATCTTGAAACTAAACTTTGCTATTTGACCGTTATATTTAAACCTTGGAGGACTTCGCCGCTTCGACGCGCTGCGCGAACTAACATTCTTGCTTCGCATCGTCGATCGTTGCTTTGCTTCGCAAAGCAACGATCCCGATGAGTTGACATCGTCAATCAAATTAAAACCACGTCATTTGAAAATTTAAGACTGCGCTAACCAAAAGTGCAACCAAATAAAATGTGAATTGCCGAAAACCCTCAGATTAAGGTTTTGGATGAATGTTCAAAAAAATTAAATATGGCAGAGTTGAGAGTAATTAAGAAACTGGCAATATTTAGTAAAATATGAAATTGTATGATCTGTAACAACTGCGCCGCGCATTTTGAATTTGAAATAGTGGACGACAAAATTAACTTATAGTTGGCGCTCTACTAAATCGCTCGCCCAAATTTCAAATAAATTCTTGTGTTTATGTAAAACCGTTTTGTACGGCTGCAAAACCATAAAAACCATAAAAGTCACGTAAAATTTTTTGCGAGCGAATTAGTAAAAGCCAATAGTTGAATATATATCCGGTTGAAAGAGACAAAGAAAGTATTAAATTAATACATTTTAATACAAAATACTTTTAACACTAATATATAACAAATAATTTAAGCCTGAAGATGGCGTTGACGTCAAAAATTGTCCTAGATTCCTAATATAACTTTTTGTTTTATCTGTCATTGTCTCGAATATATATCCAACTATTATATCCAACTAATATATCAGTATTTTAATCATGAAACTAATAAACAGCGAATTGATTGACGGTGTCAACCTTAATTGACGTTGTCAATTCATGGCAGCTCGGCGCGGCACGGCACAGTAGCGCGGCACAGTAGCGCATCTCACCAATCTAGCCATGTCGCTGTGAGAAGCCTCATTGAGTGCGCGGCGCGGCACAGTAACGCATCGCGCTACAAGTGTCAACCCATCGATATCGATGCGAAGCAAAAATGCTAGTTTGCGCGGCGCGTCGAAGCGGCGAAGTCCTCCAAACAGCTAGCGAACTACTCCATGCATCATTTGACAAAATAATTAGCCAGCGAACCATAGATGAAAAATAAGTTTGTTTGCGTGTTGAATAGCTTTAAGAAACCTTACCGACCGCGGTTATGCTTTAACCAAAGCCCTCTCGCTTGAATTAATGTGCGTCGTTCGACCGCCGAAGCCCGACTAGGTCGGCGGTCGCATATAATTTATACTGCGCCCGCCTCCCTTTACTTGTGAAACAAGCGCGCCTGCAGTGGCGCGAAAGCTTGATCCACGATCATGGACGTCGACGGATGTTACTCGTCTAAATTTCTTCGAAGTAGCGCGCGCCGCTTTATTCTACACTTGCCCGATGGCAAGTGCTACGAAGTAGCGCGCGCCGGGCCTGATCATTAACAATGGTCAACGATCAACGATGTCAATCCTTCCTTTACTTGGCCGCGCTCAGCCTGTCATTCCGCCGAATCTCTATTATGAACATGAGGTCCCCAAATAAATCTTTCCTAGCTCGGTGAGGCCCAGTGGTGCATCTTGCCGATCTACGGATGCGAGAATATGCGCGGTGCGGCCCAGTGCAGTAGTGCATAGTGCTACAACGCGAAAGCACATAGTTAGATGAATATGTACTGTGTATTGGTTTTAATTTATAGTTTATTATCGGATGTTTATTTATATTTATCATAATATTAATTATATTCATTATAATGCATTGTAGCGCGATGCACTACTGGGTCGCGCGCGCATCAAATAATGCTTCTCGCAACCAATCGGTAGATCGGCGAGATGCACCACTGTGCCTCACCGAGCTGCGAAGGATTGACATCGTGAATCAATATAATGCATAATGGCAATAAAATTTAAATTTCCTTATAAATATATAAATTCAATACAATTTAATCATTAATGTTTTTTATTGCATGATAGCTAGCGCAATGCACTACTTTGTAAATTAATAACTTACAAAGACGCGCACCAAGTTGGACTCATGTCGATATAAATTCGCCTTCGTAATTTGTTAGAATTGTTCCATCAAACAAGCAAATACAAAATTAAAATAGGTTGACATGTGTAAATATCATGTTGTATCATGTATTTATATATATTTATCTTTCAATATGCTTGCAATTAATTATTAAGGTTCAATTTTAAAGCGCTGAACATAGTGCAATGTTATGTCATTTACCTGGGTAGCGGGGACCCCAGGCTATAATGTTTATAGAGATTCGGTGGAATTACAGGCAAGGCTGAGCGCTGCCCAGTAACTATGCCAGTAATTATGCCATACCATGTGTCGGCAGGTTGTCTGCAGTTAAAATTGCGCTAGTGTGTTGTTGGTTGAACATTGTACAGGCTACAAGGTTACCAGGTTAAATTTTTAAACCATGATACAATAGCCTCTGTTTAAATATTGTGTGGCAGTTGACAAACTTAAAATGTTCAATAAGAACCGTTTGTTTTGGTCGGAATGGTGTAATTTGCTTGTTTAAAAGTTTTGCTTTGTATTTATATCGTTAAATGCAGTACGACGTACAAAAGAGAGTAGCCAATCGCTCACATTGTCCTGATAAGAGTAAAGAGCTCACGATCACATTAACAGCTCATTACAGTAAACATTTATTACTGTTAGGTTATCATAGTCAGTCATGAATACTAGACCTGTATCTCAAACACAGTCAGTTGGGCTGTCGTTCTAGAACTTATGTTGTATTTTCATGATATCACAGATATTTGCTCATTATAACTAGCAAGGCTACGGGTATTTGCCTCACAGAATGGCCAAAAAAAAGGAAGGTCTCTCAAAGTCACAAAACACACTTTATTCCAGTTTTTATCTCATAAGAAGCTAAGTTGACACTCATATTTTTCTTCCCGGGGGTTCATTTAATCTCATAACCATTTTTTCTTTGAGAAAAATTGGCCGGAAAATCTTCCTCCAAAAAAACATGCCTCACAGAATGGCCAAATCTGAATTTCTATAATTTTGTTGATGGAGATACTTTTTAAATTTCTATCACCACACGTTCTTAGAAAACCTATTAAGGAATGGGGTAATTACCTAAAACTCACGAAAAAACTGAGCTGTGAAAAATTATTTCACAAAAAAGAAAAAATGCCTGACAAAATGGCAAAAAAAAAAGAAAACGAGAAAATTTTATTTTTCTAAAACCTTTGGCTCTTGTTTCAGGCATGCTGCTGGTATTAATATGCCTTGTTAACACCCCCATATAGGTGAAATTTCTTAGAACTGAATAAAAAGGGCATAATTTCCTACACCAAAAATGGCCATTTTGTGTGGCGTTGTTCATATTCCCTGATTTCATGATTTATAACCTTCATTCGGCTGTAAAAACACTCCATCTGGGGTGTTAATGTATGATAAATAGCTTGTGAATACTTTAGACTTATGGTTTCATTGAATAAAAGGAGTTTTAAATTTTGGCCATTTTGTGAGGCATATTTTGGCCATTTTGTGAGGCGTTTAGCCATTTTAACATTTTGTTTCTTCCTAAATTGAACAATGTTCGTTTTGTTTGATGAATACTATTCTTTAAACATCTTCTGTCATACTGGTGCCAGAAGTTCTCACCAAAATGCAAACTTAGTTCAAAAATTTGAAAACAAATTTTGTGAGGCATATTTTGGCCATTTTGTGAGGCGTGTAGCCATTTTAGCATTTTTTTCTTCCTATATTGAACAATGTTCGTTTTGTTTGATGAATACTATTCTTTGAATATCTTCTGTCATACTGGTGCCAGAAGTTCTCACCAAAATGTAAACTTAGTTCAAAAATTTGAAAACAAATTTTTCAGTGCTCAAAATTTCTACATAAACAGTCATATTTATGCCAGAAAATGTGGTCCTAGTTAATGATTTCACCACAGGAAGTGTTGCCAGAAGACTTTTGTTTCATATGGTATCCACAAAACCTACCAGTCTTTTATAAAAAATTAGTTACAAAAACATTTACAAATTTGGCCATTCTGTGAGGCTAGCCATTCTGTGAGGCATTTACCCGTAGACTTTTTATTCCAATTCTGTTACTTGTTTCCTTCAGGCTCATGGAGGCTAAATTGTTTCATAATCGATTTCCCACTTTATATTTAAGTGATAAAGCAGATTTCGAACTTGTTATATAATAAGTTATTGAAATCGAATCTTGTTCATTCTTATACTCTTGTTTTCTCATATATAATATGTTCTTCTTCGTATTAACAACACCGTTCACAGGGTTATTAGAGGTAATGGAGATGATATGATAGCAATTTGGATTCTCAGATCACTACTGTGTACCTGCATTGTTTCACAAGAAATAAAGACCTTCTCAGACACATTGTTGCATTATGATGGTGTTTTAGCCAGCTACTCGCCATTTTATGAAAGATCAGATTATTTTGGATTCTGGCATGTTTCTGAAAACTATGGTTCCAAGCTTCGTGATAATCTTAATGGACTTTGTCCTCCTGGATGCATTTGCAACCTTGAAGTTCTAGATTGTTCAGGTCTATCAACAGCTACATCAGCTATTTCAATTCGCCAGCAGAATTTCTATCTTATACAAAACTCCTCATTTCCTGGAGATAAATACTCTTTGGTAACCGAATTATCAATTGTGTCATGTCCAAACTTTTTCAAAATTGAAAGTTTTGTATTGGAAAAATTTCCCAATATCAAAACAATCGTAATTGATGGCACTTCTTTGATGACTTTCCCTGCTTTTCAAACAGTTTTCAGATCACTGACGAGCATTGACATTTACAGAAGCAAGCTTTCAAGCCTAAGAAAAGCACAATTTAGCTATGCGCCTAATCTTCAGTACTTGAACTTAGCTGAGAATGAGATAAAGTTTGTTGCTGATAGCTCATTATCAGGTACATCCCTCCGACTAGCAACCTTTGCAGGAAATGAGCTCTCATTTGTTCCAAATGCCTTCAAGGTAGTTTCCAGTACATTGGAATACCTTGGTCTTGAAAGTAACAACATATCTGTTGCTAGAGCTGAAGCATTATCAGATCTTTCAGTTCTTAAACACCTCAATATTAGCAACAATCCTATTGATCACATGGAATTGGGAGTGTTCGGTGGATGCACAGCTTTGAGTTTTATTGAGCTTCATTCGACTAAACTTACCAGCTTGAATCACTTTAGCTTTTATAACATACCAAGTTTAAATTATGTCAGCCTCTATAGAACACCAACTCTGAGTTCAATATCTGGTAATGCTTTCACGGATCTTCCAACTCTGTCTATCATTCTGCTACAGTACAGTGGAATACATTTTCTTGACTACAGGATGTTTAACAGTACATCTAAAGTTCAGTATCTTGTTCTAGATGACAACAAAATCACAGCTGTACCCCACCTTCTGCTCCAAGAAGTTAAATTGTCTAAGTTGAAATGGCTTGGTTTACGAGACAATAAGATTTCTGACATAAATGGTGTTGCAGATGATCAATTCCTTCCTGGAACACAGATTCTTAAAGATCAGTATCAATCTCTGTTTCCTCTTAATAAGAGTGCTGTTGCATTACCAAAACTTGAAATGCTTGATTTATCTGGAAATCGCCTTATAGAATTACCAGATTACTTTTTCACTGCATTGCCAAGATTGAAAGAACTTTTCTTGGACAACAATTTTATTAGTGATGACCACATTAAGATAAATGCTTTGACAGAGTCTTGCAAAGCCTTGGAAGTTGTGAGACTGGACAACAACAATTTAAAAACTGTCCCTAGTTTTTTGTTCCGACCGCCTAACATCAGATATATTTCGTTGAATCAAAACCTACTAACGTTTTTGGAGAGTGGCACATTCTCATCATTAACCAACCTCACTGAATTATATCTTGCTACTAACAACATTCTAACGATTGAAGATGGGACATTTCCTAGTTCTTTAAATGTGCTTGAACTGCAAGAAAATAAATTCAGCTTCCTGGACGAAAATCAGTTCAACGACATGCCTCTGCTGACGCGCCTTGATCTCAGTTCTAACAGAATATCAGATCTGCCCGATGATGTATTTGCAAACAATGTCAAGCTTGATTATGTTGATCTCGACAGCAACAGAATTGGCTGGATAAATAAGGCTGTATTCAGGGACACCCCCCTTGAAAGTCAAATCACTGTATCAAACAATGAGTTAAAAACTATCGAGCATGGAACATTCTCTGGCAAAGACTTTGTTGTGTTTTCAGCCGATAATAATCAATTGTCCTTCCTACCGGACGACTGTATGTTTTGCAATTTAACAGGTTCTGCCGTCAAAATCAGCCTACATCAAAACAGGCTGGAGTTCCTACACTCGTTCATGTTCAGTAATATACCGAGTGTTCACAGTATTGATTTATCAGAAAACCTCATCACTGACATAATGGCAAATTCTTTCAACAACATCGGTTTGACGCACACAATTGACCTGTCAGAAAACCCTGTCAATGAGATAGAAAGATACAGTTTCAACAAGATCTCAGGTAGGGGAGATTATTCGTATCTAGACGTTACCAATATCTCACCCTACAAAATTGTTAAATCCTTTACTTTCAATGATGTCTCCGTCCGGAATATAGACCTAGCTTTAAACAATATATCCAAGATTGAGAAAGAGGCGTTTAGCAACGTGAATGTTGCTGATACCCTCGCACTATCTGCTGTTCATCTTAAGTTCATCGCAAAACATGCTGCAGTTGGATACATCAAATACATAAATTTGCAAGATAATGAACTTACAAGATTGGTACAAGGAGCATTTGAGAAAACAACCTGTCATGACATAGATCTAAGCAACAACAAGATAAGCTTTGTTGACAAGAAATCTCTTCCAGACTGCACAAACACGATCAAGCTAGATAACAATCTTATTCCCAGATGGATAAAAGACATCATCGTTAGCGGAGAGAATCTCAAAATATTGTCCCTCAAAAACAATAAAATAAGGGAAATTGAAGAAGGCGCTTTGTCTGCAGTGAGACATAGCCTAACACTTCTGGATTTAAGTGAGAATGATCTACCGTCCTTTGAGAAAGATGTGATTTCTAACTTTGCGGCAATTGAAACACTGAATATTGGAAACAACAATATTCGAAATATAGAGGCTCAAACTGGTCTAGTATCCTTGAAGAATCTTGATTTTTCTTCCAACAATGGAAGACTAAAATTCTTCAGTAAGAGCATCTTCGAATCCATTGCAGCTGCCAATACAACATCAATCACTGTATCAAACACTTTGGCTAACCCCATTCCTTGCTCTTGCTCAAATTTTGAGGCATTTTCACTTCTCTCTGAAAATTATCGTCTAAACTTCGATAACATAGATTTCTGTGAATTTGAGGGACGGACATTTTCATTCAAGAAGGGTCCTGAGGATTACTTTGTATCCTCAATGAAACAGTTATTGTGTGAACCACAAATCTCTCAATTTGATCGTGTGACTACTAAATGGGTTGATGACTTACCAACAGAAGAGCGGCTTGATTTGAAATGGAAACTTTGGGAGGTTGCTCTGTGGAATAAAGAACGTGCTTTTTGTTGCAATGGTGAAACCTCAGACAAATGTCTAACGGTCACCTTATTCAGAGTGAAATGTTACAGAGACGATACTGATGAACTGATTACCGAGGAGAACGTCCCACTCAGCGGAGCTGCTGACTGTGATTTCGAGTTCACCACCTCAATAACTACACTTTACACTAACGTATCTATTGCTTGTAGTGTAGATGTTACAACCAGTGACAAGAACAGTCCACCGTCCCCATTTGCTGTGTGTCACCCGGAGAATAAAGCCTCTGTGGCAGTGAACTGCCAGAAAAAGGATTTTCCTCTCAGTGCTACTTTCTTTGATTTTGATAACAATCTCTACGATTTTCAAAACTCTGGTGATGACGATATTGTATCTGGTTTGTCTTTTGTTAATCATCTGTTAGGACCTTTTGTATACACAACATCCACTAGTGATTCTGTCTCAAGATGGTTCACTGTGAATAGTGATACTAAAGGCGTGCTCCAACAAGACGTATGTTTAGACCGAATTAAGAAGAATCAGTACAAATGGTTTGCTAGAAACTGGTATCCTCTTGATGATCTAGTTTCGACTGGGAATCTTGACAGAGATAAGCATTTCATCGCTCACAATCTGTACTTTACAGCTCGAATATCTTTCCCCCTCTTAAGAACCAGTAATAATCAGGAGATACGTATTGGTGGACCTGATGATGTTTGGGTCTTTGTCGGAGGTGTGCAAGTATTGGAACTTTTATCTGAAGTGGATGATGATTCTCCCTTACCCTGCAGCATGGTGGCTATCACTTCTTCTGGTGTCAGTGTCACTCTTGGTACGCTAGACTTTGCTAGCTCCACTGAGAGGTGTGTAGCTTCAGATGAGACAAAGAATCATCCTGAAATTATGTTCTTGGCTGGAACCGTTTACCCTGTTGATATTTTTCTAACCCAGCGGCGTTCACTATCTTCATCATTGTATCTAGAGCTGAAGAACATAGAACCTAGTGGTTCACCTGCACCACGATTTCGGTTTGATATGTCAGAAAGTAAACCACCTGGAGGCCTCATTGCAAAGCTGGATTTACTAAACGATCAGGGGATATCAGGTCCGTATACTACTAAGATAACACTTGGTAAGGAGTATTTTGTAGTGAAACCTCCAAAGTTCAGTTATCTTGCTGACATGACAGAAGAAGATGCCAATACAAATCCAGGTCACGATATTCCTGCTTACTATGACTGTTCTAATGAAGTAACAATAGCAGACCCACTTCCTCAGAAAGTAAACTCTTTACTTGGGGAGGATTCGGACGACCTCCTCCTTATCTTGAGAGACAGTATGGATTTCGACACGCTTGATCGTAGATCTCGAGAGTTTATTCTTTCATTTTCAGTTTCCATGACCAATTTTCAACTAGAATACAGTTTTGAGACGACAGTACTCGTCACATTATTGGACTCAAACGACAATTGTCCGGTTTTTATGGACAGTTCTGATGCTCCTATGCTTTACGAGTCGCTGTATGCTTTATCAATAGAAGGAAAAAGTATCACCGCAACAGATGCCGATAGCTCTGAAAATAAAGTGATAAGTTACCATGTTGGTGAAATGAAACGTCCTATTAACGAGAGTTTCTACACGTCTCAAATAGACTACTATCTCCACGAGAAAGTGTTTGTTGACTACACGGTTACAATACACGCTGTAGATAACGGTGATAAGAAGTACGGCTCCTCCACCGAGATACTCATCTCACTCAGCACCAGCTGTATCAGAGACCTCCAGCTCGTGATCAACAAAACCACAGGTCTATTCCTGACCCTAGCTCCAGGCTGGATGATATCTGGGTACAACAGTTCGTATTGTGAGTCCTGTACTGTTGGGTACAGATGTCCGGGTGATGGTGTCCGGATTAGGTGTACTACTTGTGAACGAGAGTATGAGAACACTGACTACACCTGGCCCGAGGGAGTATCTAGATCAGAACCAGGATGTGATAACCCCAGCAAGGCTGAGTTTAGTTTTGGTGGGTCTGCTGAATGCCAGGATTGTAAAGCAGGTTGGGTGTGTCAGGAAGGGAGGGGTAGCCCGGTGCTCGAAGACATGAAGTATGTGGATATGTGCACAAATGGAAGCTGTAATACCACAATAATGGACTGTGAACCTGGTTTCTCATGTATAGCTGGGGTTGCTGAACTCTGCCAAGTTGGGACTTATAATGACGGCACCTTCTCCAGATGCCGACTCTGTCCTCCTGGTATGTTTACTGACTCCACAGGCTCCTCTGCATGCTCCTGCTGCCCCGAGGGCTCCGAGTCAAGTCACGGTAAGGACAAGTGTAAGATGTGTGTTTGGAACGAGATGTGGACAGAATGTGGGGAGTGTAGACCTTGTCTGGACAGTGAGGAATGTCGTTGTGTAGGTTCAGAGCATGGCTGTTATCAAGGCCAGCAGTGTGTCAACTTACCTGGGGATAGTAACGTGTGTTTGGACTGTCCTGCGGGTTCTGAGCCGCTTCAGAGCTCTTGTTCAGATGTGGATGAGTGTGGGAGATATGACCCCTGTTTTCAGGGGGTAACTTGTATCAACCTGGTGAGTTGGATCATCAAGTTTTAAAATTGATTGCTCTTTATCTGAAATCAAAGAGAAAACGTTGCCGATTGAATAAGTCGAATTCGAGGAATTGATGCATATAATATACTATATATTACCCTTTTAGCTGACACTGTTAAACTTATTTTGGTTTATACAGCAAAAGTGACAGCTCTCTAAAACGGTTTCAGTCTCCAGGGTTCAAGTGTGACCCCTGTCCCTCCGGCTATTCGGGAACCAGCCCTCAGGGTATTGGACGCACAGAGTCTCAGGAGTGTTATGATGTGAACGAGTGCGAGCTGAACAATGGTGGATGTGATCCTAACTCACTCTGCATCAACATACCCGGATCTGTTACGTTAGTTATATTTGACATTTCTGCAGAACTGCTTCCATTTTAAACAGGATAAATAGTTTGTCACTATCTAACTATATAGTCTGCCATGATTTGCTAGCAACAGAAAGCAAGAGCATCCGCAAGCATTTAAGCTATGATCAATTTAAGATCCGGTTCCCTAAAAGCGTTTGATAGAGCCGGATACAGCTAAGACTGATAAATTGAGCAGGGAAACAACAACAATTTAAATACCACGCTCTCCTAACCATCGTGTGGGGTCCAAGGTACCTGATAGTTTTCACTAACTTTCTGACAAACATCCTGCAGATGTGGCCTCTGTGCTCCAGGTCTAATTGGTTCCGGAGAGACTACATGCTCCAATGGGAACCTCTGTCACCTGGGTAAACACCGCTGTGACGATAATGCCATCTGTATTCACACAGGTAACAATTTATAGAATTAATAGAGATTTTGTCCGTGGAAATTCAAACTTAAATTGACCAGTGTCAACATTTTAATATCAACCCACATCCAGAAAATTTTCAATTTCCTCCCAGTCCAATGTCTCCTTCCTAAAAATTATCTTGTGTCCTAAAAAAGGCAAGGTTATCTAAAAATTTCCTCCCAGCCAGACTTCCAGACTGACATGTTTTCAGATCAATACCGTGATCATAATACACCAACAAATTCGGATAGTTAACTGTGTTTGACTAAGATTACTAACTGTTAATCTCAGGACCAGGGTGCTACAGATGTCAGTGTGAGCCACAGTTTGCTGGAGACGGTTATACCTGCGGTCTGGACTCTGATCTTGATGGATACCCGGACACACCCCTGAACTGTAACGAAACTGTCTGTGCGCAGGACAACTGTCCCCTGGTTCCTAATCCTAGTCAGGTTAAATACCGCACAAATATCAAACAAAGTCTGTGCTCAATTTTATAGTGAACATTATACTTAATGACTCTTGTGGACTATAGCAATGATATTTAATCTGTTACGTGTATCTGTAAACATATGAAATGGACTAAATAGAGAGATTCTATATAAATGAGGTCTACAGGAGTCAGGAGAATTAAGATGGAATTCATATAGGAACACCAAAGTTGCACAGGGCAAATTAGGTAGCCTCGAATAACAAATATCATAAATTGGTTAGCTTTGCTCAGCACAAAAAACTATTTGCTGGATCCTAGAATTGTCCCGTGGAAGACAAGGTTGGATTTTATCGTTGCCCTCAAAATATCTAATCTGTTTAACAATTTACTCAAAGGAGACGTCTTGTTAAATTGAAATAACATATTTACATTATATCAACTGTTTATCTTGTTAAGTAAATAATTTTAAATAGATGCAATAATTGTTTCAACCGATCCCTACAATAAGCAGAAACAATTATTACAAATTCACTTAATTTAAGTTTTATTAAATTTAAGCTTTATTTTGTACCTATTTTGGAGCAAGATGAGGATCCCGTTGAGAACGTTATCTGTCCATCTTGACACGTTGCCTTCACGTTACGATCTTTCTTGGCGTGTTTTCGTGGACAGCGGTAGGTTACTTCTTCTCCGTGTCAGCTGGTAACTGAGAAACTGTAACGTCCAACAGGGTGTCGGGGACTTGCAGTTGGCTGAAATAAAGACTTTCAAATCGTGAAGAATAAATTCAAAATAGCCACTGATGGTTAACATAATATGTTATAGCGTTTGCACAATTAACACACCAACTATATATCTTACCACGGCAATGTGGCGCAAGTGCACCATTAGGTATAACAATCCCTCCGTCAACACAAGCTGCCTTGTCTCCTCCCATGTTGGTGAAGTCTGCATCACAGTTAAGGGTTATCTCAGCTCCGTGCATCACTGGTAGTTCTGGTTCCGTCACAACGTTGCTCCAAGTTGAGTCGAGGGACTCACATTTAGGTTTGTCAACTGAAATTATAATCAGTTTCAAAAAAAATTTTTAATTTTTAAGTTATTGGTTTATTCAGCTTAATTATAGCCTGTTGAACTTAATCGAACAATGATCTGTGGGAGATTTTAGCAAATATAAAAAACAGCACAGTTAAAACACAGCTGATTAGAATTGTATTACTTACTACATTCACTTTTCTGACTGTTGCTGACTGTTCCAGCTTCACATTCAGAACATGTTGCAGATCCAGCAGCACTGAATTTTCCAGCTTCACATTCAGAACATTTTGCAGATCCACCAGAACTAAATTTTCCAGCTTCACATTCAGAACATGTTGCAGATCCAGCAGCACTGAATTTTCCAGCTTCACATTCATAACATGATGCAGATCCAGCAGAACTGAATTTTCCAGCTTCACATTCAGAACATTTTGCAGATCCAGCAGCACTGAATTTTCCAGCTTCACATTCAGAACATGTTGCAGATCCAGCAGCACTGAATTCCCCTTCTTTACATTTAGAACATGATGCAGATCCAGCAGAACTGAATTTTCCAGCTTCACATTCAGAACATGATTCAGATCCAGCAAAACTGAATTTTCCAGCTTCACATTCAGAACATGTTGCAGATCCAGCAGAACTGAATTTTCCTGCTTCACATTCAGGACATGTTGCAGATCCAGCAGCACTGAATTTTCCAGCTTCACATTCAGAACATGTTGCAGATCCAGCAGAACTGAATGTTCCAGCTTCACATTTAGAACATGTTGCAGATCCAGCAGAACTGAATTTTCCAGCTTCACATTTAGAACATGTTGCAGATCCAGCAGAACTGAATGTTCCAGCTTCACATTCAGAACATGTTGCAGATCCAGCAGAACTGAATTTTCCAGCTTCACATTCAGAACATGTTGCAGATCCAGCAGCACTGACTGTTCCTGCTTCACATTCAGAACATGTTGCAGATCCAGCAGAACTGAATTTTCCAGCTTCACATTCAGAACATGTTGCAGATCCAGCAGCACTGAATTTTCCAGCTTCACATTCAGAACATGTTGCAGATCCAGCAGCACTGAATTCCCCTGCTTCACATTCAGAACATGTTGCAGATCCAGCAGCCCTGAATTCCCCTGCTTCACATTCAGAACATGTTGCAGATCCAGCAGAACTGAATTTTCCAGCTTCACATTCAGAACATGTTGCAGATCCAGCAGCACTGAATTTTCCAGCTTCACATTCAGAACATGTTGCAGATCCAGCAGCACTGAATTCCCCTGCTTCACATTCAGAACATGATGCAGATCCAGTAGAACTGAATTTTCCAGCTTCACATTCAGAACATGTTGCAGATCCAGCAGAACAACCTGAAAAGAAAATATTTATCCAGTGTTTTGCGTTACTGCCTTGCACGAATGTTATTATTTCCTACCATTTGATTATTTTTATATCCTAGCTATTTCTGGAGCAACTTCAAACTTCTTCCCATGTTATTGGTTCCTCTTAATTTAACTTTCACTCCAATTTTAAGTGATAATACGACTATACGAGGTGAATGCCGTTGCAACTTCCTGGTTAAACCCAGGATTTCCTGTTTAACTTGACCTAATAACTTATTTATGTTATAAGTAACATTTAAAACGGTTTGATCTCATCTAAACAATTCACCTTGGTTACCGATTATAACGATCTCCGCCACCCACATCCTAGTACGGCTGTTCACTACCTCCAGCTTTACGGTGTTTCCATACATGCAGTCAGATCTTTGAGAAAGGCTGTCAGACGATGCTCCCTCAGTGAAGACTGTGAGTGATAAATCGCTACATGTGCCTTCATTCCGAACAACACAAGTGCTACAATCTGTTGAAGAGCAGATCCAAGTTTGTGCTGAAACCCTTCCATTGTATCTCACCACTTGGTTAATACACTTTACTTGATCAAGGGTTAACTTTAACCAGATATTATTATCAGCATCCTTGGTTGCTTTGGCGGAGGTCTCCATGTCTAGGTCTATAGCAAGTTCAGCACCATAATCTACAGTGCGGGAGGATTGTTTAGCACTGACTGGTATTATCTCACCATCTTCTCTCTGTCGAGTCTCACCCTTATCTTTAGTGCCGGATTGTTCAGCACTGACTGGTGTTATCTTACCATCTTCTTTCTTACCACAATGAGAGAGCGAGATAAAGAGAAGAACCAACAAATGAAACATTGACTTTGTCATTGTGTCTGATAGGAAATGATTTAAGTATTTATCAGGCACCACTCCGTTAAAACTATTTTGAATTATGGAAATAACAGCTATTCCTTTTTAATTCTCATTAAAATTCAAAGAAACATAAAAAGAACTTAGAGCTCACAAGCTAAGGGCTGATTCTATCTAGATCTTTCCAAAACTGGCTTTTAAAAAACAGCATCGAAATGGGACTGGCTGTCTTTAAGTTGACAGTATGGAGCTTAAAATGTTGGAAAAGCTTTCGCTTGTGTAACTTTTATACAATAGCAATGTGCTTGCGTAAAGTGGCTTACGGAGTGGCTTACGGAGTGACTTACAGAGTTGCTTACGGAGTGGTGAGTGGGTCTAAAATGGCCAAAGTGTGGCCAAGTAACATACATGTGCTCGATCCCTTAAACAATAAAGAATACACAAGCAGTTTGATTTTTCTTGGAGAAGTTATCTTTTGACTCTTAAGGTTGCAAACAAAATGAAGAAGCAGACTTTAGGCTTCAGTTCACGTAAACTTTATGACGTGAATCAAATGTGAAATATTCAAGAACTGTGCAGCTACAATAATAACTTAAGCTAAATATTCCGTTAGCTACAACATCTTAGAATTTTTGTATAACCTGAATAACGTCCAAGGCACTAGGGAACCTGGTGTAATAAAAAACCTTATCGAAAAGAGCCAGGCAAGTCGAACAGAGGGAGAGGAAGAAACAAGAGATTTGGTGTGCACTGTGCAATTGTTAGCGTCCCCTAGTTCAGATAATGATCCCTGTCATTGTTCCAGCAGGGAATAAGGAGAATTGTGGAGTATCCTTGTGACTCACAAACGTTAGCTAGCTACAGCATCTTGGATTATTCTCCAAGTAACGTATAGGGCACTAGGGAACATTGTGTGATAGAGAGAATCTTATTATAGAAAAGAACCAGGCAAGTCGAACAATGGGAGAGAAAGAAACGCGGGATTTGGTGTGCAATTCTTAGCGTCCCCTAGTCGCAGATCATGATCATTTTAATCGTTTGAGAGAGATTATGTGGACAATAGCGGACAACCCTGGTAAACTTTAAGGCACAAAATCCTTGATTCGCACATTACTGAGAGGGACAGATAGAGGGAGAGATATGTGCATGAAATAGAGTAAGAGGGCAGTTTTCACATTAAAGGACTCACTGCTGGGATGTTGTTCAGGGTAGCCGGGTAAAGTGGCCACTGCCCACTTTAGAAGGTAGATACTTTACAGGCACACTACACAGTGGCCCTGTTTTAGGGTCCCAGTGTGAGCCTTTATGTTCCGTCAGAAGACGATCAAATAAGGGATTAGGGTGGCGGGGGAAGCAGCAGGCTTGTTGAGTCGCCGTACATTCGCCGGGTGCCCAGGTCGGATAGTGTTTAATTGAAGTAAGGCTACTATATTGTAGAGAGTTCTTACAACTAGAACTCGCTCGATATGATATTAGGTAAGGTTCTACAGTAGATCCTCTCCAGTAAAACGGCCTGTTCTACTGGAGAAGCGCTTTTAGTTGTTCCGGTTTAAATAATGAACTCCCAGATGGACATAGACAGTGACAACGTTGGTGACGTGTGTGATGGGGACATAGACGGAGACATGATAGTAAATGATATGGACACATGCCCAAATAAGGAGATAGAAGGAGGGAGAGATAGAGACAAAGATGGTGTCCCGGACGTGTGTGATAATTGCGTGAAGGTAGACAATCGTTATCAGCAGGATTCAGATGGGGATGGGATAGGGGACCACTGTCAGTGTTTGGGTAGGTTTCACTCATTCGGTATGATAATTTTATACTTACTTATATTCCACTTGTATTGTGTCTTGGATAATTTTCATTGTCTTTTCTGTCCACAATGTAAGAAGATGGTTGCTATGCGCCCTTTTTTATGCACCTACTTTAATTAAGCGCATGTTTTACAATTACAAGATACTAAAGCAGGGATACTAGAGTCATATTATACTGATCGTGATGTTTCAGGCGCTGCCTGTTTCACTGAAGCAACATGTGAAGATACAGCTGATAGCGACGGTGATGGTATCTACGATGCTTGTGATAACTGCCCCCTTGTTCCTAACTCATTTCAGGGGGACCTCGATGGAGATGGCGTGGGTGACAGGTCTGTTTAAGGGGGCAGGGGGGTCCTAGCTAGAATACCACATCTTAGACAAGAGACGTTATTTTGGGGGCTTTGTTTTGGTAGTTTTATGGTTCTTTCATCTTAATTCAATAGCTTGTAAGAAACTACTGAAAGATTTAAGAATATGTTAATAATCAAGATATTACATTGCCAATGGTGAAAAGTATTGATACCATTTATTACTCTACAGATGTGACGAGGACGCTGACGATGACGGAGTACCCAACTCTCTAGACAACTGTCCCCACCTCCCTAACCCTGACCAGACTGATACAGATGGTGATCTGGTGGGGGACACGTGTGATGATTCAACCACATGGCCCCAGGCGGTTAGTTGTGTTTAACAGTTTGCTTTGTAGATCTTGTAATTTTACTTACTTTTTGATATTAGAACTTGCAAATCATCTTAATTAGTTCCACACTTTGATTCTTAGTTTTTATCCATCCGGTAAATAATTAGCACTATCTGCATACTATTACTGGAGATTACTAACTCTGGCAGCTATTTAACCAATGTTGAGACATATCGAATATAACAGTACTCCGCCGCTCTCTGTAATACATTCTCAAGCAATAATTAGCTAAGCGATAACGTTGCCTCACAAACACCATGGCAACCTGTGTACATTATCGTTCCGTAGTATTTAAAAGTCTATCACCCCGAGGCCCGAAGTCATTATAAAGTTACTAACTTCTGTATAAAAGCTGATGATACCGTGACACGTGATGTAGAAACAGAGCTGTTAATTTAAGTTAGAGCAGGTGAAGAACATTACTGTTGACAAAGTAATATGCTTCTAACTTGGGCCGTTATTTGTGTGCCGACAAAATCACTCTCAGCTAGATTTAATATGCCGGGGTATACTGGGTGGATTTCGGGTGGTAAGGCATCTTGGGATCTCATAAGTGTGAATTATAATTCTTTGTAAGGAATTATTTGCGTATCAGATTGTAAGTTTCTAGTTAATCCCAATTAGACTGACAGATTTACAACAAAAGGACCAAACCTTCAACCCGGGCCGCACGAAGAAACCAAATAAATGTAACCCGTATAACCCTAAAATGGTGTCAAGACTCAAGAGACTAAAATAATTATTTCCTATTTAATTCGCGTTTTTGACACCACTTGGGGGTCCAAATTTTGGGCTCTAAAACTCCTATTCCTTGGCCAATTTTTTATTTTTTCATACTATCTTGAAAAGCATAAAAGCATTTGACCCAGTCAAAAAAGTTTCAGTTGTATATCTTTTACGGTTTTTTGCGGAAAGTCGCGTTAAAGTTGATGCCGTGGTGTCAGTAAAATGGCACGGATAAATATATATATATATATCGTCTCGCTTTATATATAGTAAGATTACATGGCTAAATGATTACCTACATGGTTTTCTAAAGGTTAGTACCAGTTGCTGCATTTAAATGACAAAACTTGCAGGTGTTTGACCGAGATAGTGATGGTGATGGAGTGATTGATCTCCATGACAACTGTCCTACTGATCCCAACCTAACAACAGTTAACTTCGTACGCCATTCTCATATGTTACTTTCTCCAGAGTAAGCTAATCATATATGCGTGTCTTTGAAATGAATTCTAACTTATGGAAGTTAATTAATCGTGTAATTTCTTGATTCCAGCCATTGACTACTCTTCCAGTTACAGACTTATGTTAATAATGATTGAGCTGCAGAAAGTACCAGGGAAGATAACCAATTATAACGTTTATATTTCAGGCTAAAAGAGGCTATTTGGGTTGTGAGTGAAGGTGGGAGGACTGTGGAGCTCGTTTCGGCGGAGACAGGACCCACTATCCTGCTGTCTCAGAATAGGTTAGATAATTTAAATAGGTTAGATATTTTGAATAGGTTTGATATTTGGTTATTTTCTCCCTGATAATTAATATTTTTGTTTACCTCAAAATATCGTTACCTTTGTTATACAGAACGATACAATGTTTTACAATTAAGGTAAAGTGAAAGATAAATTATAGGTTTAATTATAAGATAGCTCAAATCGTACGGTTACAGCATGTTTCATACTGCGCACAGTAGCAAAGGAGTGGGTGCCCGGGTGGTAAAAAGTTTGTAGAACAACTATAATATTAATAGACAATTTTCCTAATAATGCTTTTATTTGATTATTTGTCGAAATAAGTCATCTGTAAAGCAACAGCACAGAGGAATCACACTAATAGGTATCCTAGACAAAGCGAGACATGAGTCATCTGTAAAGCAACAGCACAGAGGAATCGCACTAATAGGTATCCTAGACAAAGCGAGACATGAGTCATCTGTAAAGCAACAGCACAGAGGAATCGCACTAATCGGTATCCTAGACAAAGCGAGACATGAGTCATCTGTAAAGCAACAGCACAGAGGAATCGCACTAATCGGTATCCTAGACAAAGCGAGACATAAGTCATCTGTAAAGCAACAGCACAGAGGAATAACACTAATAGGTATCCTAGACAAAGCGAGACATGAGTCATCTGTAAAGCAACTGATAGGGCCTGTCGTGATATCATGGATCGCTTAGATTCCACCAGGATTTGGTAGTCCTCATAATTCTGCGGCCTCTATGTGTCGTCATCTCGCACAACTCCGAAAAACCGTTGTGAGTTTGGCATGTGAAAATTTGCAGCCTTCCAGACATCGATTGGGTTAACGAGTTGTCGTACGTCACCTCAAGATCGGGTGACAGGGGGCTGAACAGGCCAGAACCCAATTGATTGGGTCTGAGGTCACGTGATTATGAGCCTGAGGTCACGTGACTATGACGTCACCAGAGCTCGTTCTCCGTTTCCCGCTCTTTGGACCAGGTGAGCTTGCATGCATGTGAAAGTGGGTGTAAGTACAGCTGTACTGTAGTTACATCCAATTACCCCTAATAGAACGAAGATTTATTTTCTGACAGAAAGCTAGAAATTTACCAAAATATCGACTTTGTTCAAAATTTAATTTGATGACCACTCCTAACCTAAAATTGCACGAGAAATCGATTAAATTTGGTTTCAGAACTCAACAATGCTTCCTTATGCCTTAAAATCCATGTTTTATCGATACAATAAACATTTTGATCCTGTGGATTAATTAGTAACAGGTAACAAATGCACAGACAAAACCATCGCACTTACATTGCATTCTTAACGGGTCGATTGCTTTAAAGGAGCGGCGGTTGCTTTAAATCAATGGTTTACGTTATTTTTTGTGAATTCGACCCCTGTTTTAACGGTTATCAGACTTTGTAATTGAATGTATTGAGGATATCTTTACAAATAAGAGGACCAGTAAATAAAATTGCCACAAGTGTTTCTCTCACTCACTTTCGATAAGACACAATGAAAAATTCCGAATCTTATGGTTAAGTAAGAATTTTCATTGTGTCTTATCGAAAGTGAGTGAGAGAAACACTTGTGGCAATTTTATTTACTGGTCCTCTTATTTGTAAAGATATCCTCAATACATTCAATTACAAAGTCTGATAACCGTTAAAACAGGGGTCGAATTCACAAAAATAACGTAAACCATTGATTTAAAGCAACCGCCGCTCCTGTCTCTTGATTGCTGATGATGATCAGGAACGCATGACGTATAATTATCATCACGACGATTATTGGTCACTCGAAATCGACCCGTTAAGAATACAATGTAAGTGCGATGGTTTTGTCTGTGCATTTGTTACCTGTTACTAATTAATCCACAGGATCAAAATGTTTATTGTATGATCGATAAAACATGGATTTTAAGGCATAAGGAAGCATTGTTGAGTTCTGAAACCAAATTTAATCGATTTCTCGTGCAATTTTAGGTTAGGAGTGGTCATCAAATTAAATTTTGAACAAAGTCGATATTTTGGTAAATTTCTAGCTTTCTGTCAGAAAATAAATCTTCGTTCTATTAGGGGTAATTGGATATAACTACAGTACAGCTGTACTTACACCCACTTTCACATGCATGCAAGCTCACCTGGTCCAAAGAGCGGGAAACGGAGAACGAGCTCTGGTGACGTCATAGTCACGTGACCTCAGGCTCATAATCACGTGACCTCAGACCCAATCAATTGGGTTCTGGCCTGTTCAGCCCCCTGTCACCCGATCTTGAGGTGACGTACGACAACTCGTTAACCCAATCGATGTCTGGAAGGCTGCAAATTTTCACATGCCAAACTCACAACGGTTTTTCGGAGTTGTGCGAGATGACGACACATAGAGGCCGCAGAATTATGAGGACTACCAGATCCTGGTGGAATCTAAGCGATCTATGATATCACGACAGGCCCTAAAAGCAACAGCACAGAGGAATCACACTAATAGGTATCCTAGACAAAGCGAGACATGAGTCATCTGTAAAGCAACAGCACAGAGGAATCGCACTAATCGGTATCCTAGACAAAGCGAGACATGAGTCATCTGTAAAGCAACAGCACAGAGGAATCGCACTGATCGGTATCCTAGACAAAGCGAGACATGAGTCGTGAAACGTGCGCCGTCTGGACTCTGGAGCGAATCAGTTTGTCAGAATCATCCCTCTTTCTTGGAACTGAAGGTGTCAGTTCCACGACTGTCACAGTATTTGTTGGTTGCCAATAACCGGCATATATCTTAAGATATCATACGTAACGAAAGATTTAAATAATTTAAGTTAAAGACTTAGAGAGCTCGGTGGTGACCACTGAAGATTGGCGGCACACCGTGTTCTCAGTGCCATCTTTATTGTCTGGTATTCGGATACCCCACACTCCTTCGCAGGGTCTTCTTGCACTGCAGTCCAACATAACGATCACGTGCACAATTACCTCGCACCAGTGAACCCTGTTACCATGACAACTAATCAAAGGAGCATGTACACACCTATCTGCACTATTAAATGATATTGTAGCTGGTATTAAACTATCAGTATCATATAGGTAGCTACATAGCTAAATATAGGTAGTAAGTACTCACAATCTTATACCGGGAGATTGGCAGGGACATTGATTTTGTACTATCGTCTGAACTTGATTTGATTTGAAATTTCAATCAGGCTCTTGTACAAATATATAATGTTGTGGTGATTCAATAAATGTTTGTCTGTCGTAGCGTTAGTTTTTGTAACTTCGGTAGGAGCCTGAGGATCAGAGTTCAGATTTCTTCAGATTTCTTTTTTGTAACCGGAACCGTATCGGAACTGGAACCGGTTCTTTTCGGATTTATTTTTTAATCAGATTGCACCGCATTCGGTGCAATTATAAGACAGATCTTCAACGCACTCCCAGGAAACAAATTTCATTAATAATTAAATACGTGACGTAGATCTATAAAATTAAAGCACTTTATTTAGCTTGATAATCTGATAAATTATCAACATTGCATAACCAGAATAATCTCATGACACACCTTGGGAGGCTGATCCGTTTTGATTCCGTCCATTGATACCACTTTTTTGGCCATTTGATACCACTTTTTAGGCCATTTTATACTTTTTTGGCCTTTTGATACGAAAACAAAAATATAACTGTATTTCAAACTAAAAGGACCCAATAAACGTTGTCAGCTATCAGCCGGATATCCGGTCAGTTCTCGGTCATAGAATCATTTCAATCACTCTCGCAGGACAACTCTTTCAATATGTTGCAGATCGGCGAAATGGTTATTACTACATTTCTGGTGCTCCTTCATGCTTTTAATATCTCATATTTTGCTATTTTGTACGTATATTTTCCGTATAACGTTAAACATTCTGGATATGACTAATAAATATTTCGGCCCCACTAGATCACTAGATAAGGGTATCAATTTTTTTTGCGAAGAGGCCTTAAGGGTATGGAAGTGACTTCATTCGATTTATTTTGGACGCTGATTCCAGATTACCCCTGCCCCCATCACCCATGACATAGGGTTAAAACGCTTCCCTGCGGAGTTATGGGCAAACAACTGTTTTTGACAGGCTGGTAACACACGAATTAGATTGTTTAGGGTTGTGACTTGTGGTTCAGGTCATGGTTAGGGTTGTGGTTAGCTTCTGGGTAATGGTTATGGTTAGAATTTAGGTAAGGTTAGGCTTCCGTTAAAATTCCAAGTCACGTGATATCGCGCTGGCTCGTGAACTATAAGTGAAAGGTTAAATGCCAGACATGATATCCACTAGTCAGTTATCAAAGGTAAAATAAGTGGATATTATACGGTAATTAATTTTAAATACTACCTTCTGATTGGTTCTCCTGTTTTCTGAGAAGTAATGACCTGTTTTACTGGGAACAGAGACACTGGACATGTTTAATGTTTATAATAAATATCATGTCCCCTGCAGTAAGGGACTCAGAATAGCAGACAGCAACTGATTAGATCAATCAAATCAAATAACCCTAAATTCAGACCTCTGGTTCGGTAAGTTCAGACCTCTGGTTGGGTAAATTCAGACCTCTGGTTCGGTAAATTCAGACCTCTGGTTGGGTAAATAGAGTTATGTTAGGATATTAGTCGCCGTTGTGACCACCAGCATTTAAATACCGATCAATAGTATTTAGTACCCGCCACTATAACCTTCCCGATTAATTACATATTTCAAAAACGCCTTTCTACTGGCCGATCAATAGTGTCCATGTCTTTCAAGTGTAACGTCATACCTACCTATTGAACCTATATAGCACAAGTTTAGCGACAAAGTCCGTTTAATTCTGAAAATATTTTCTTTTTGTGGCGACTTTCAAAGAAAATGCACTTATAGTTTTAAATGTAATCCTTCTGATAAGAAACTCCTCTTAGTCTCGCTTTTTTAACGTTTTTAATCTAGTTAAGATAGTTTAGATCTATACTGAGATCAAAATAGCTGATTCGATCACTTTAGAGCTA